AGAACGAGCCTAAACGCGTTCCAGGCGGTCGTATCCACGTACCACATGACGATCAAATATTTGGTGGGCAAAAACGTTGGTGAGATCGTTGGAGATCAACTTACCTCGAGAAGCTGCTACCAGACCACTGTGATCAACAACAAGCAAATAGCGAGGAGGTAGATGCACCCTAAGGGGGAGGAAGTTAATCGACCGTGAGGGTCGAGGTCGAAGGAGGAGAGACATAAGTCGGAGAAGGGGAAGGAGAATGTAGAAATACAGCCGGGTGGCGAAGTGGAAGAGATACAGATGGTCGAGGGGTGCGAAGAGAGGAAATTTCGAATCGGGAAGGAATTGGAGGAGCCGGTGAAATCGGGGCTAATTAAGGTGATAAGAGATTTTGCGGATGTGTTCACATACTTGACGGAGGAGTTGACTGGCATCAAGGCCGAGTTTATTGAGCACCGGTTGAACATCGACCTCACTGTAAGACCAGTGAAGCAAAAAGGGAGACACCACGGGCAAAGATGGATAAAGTAATCAAGGTGGAGGTAGAAAAACTCTTGGTGGCAGGTCACATAAAGGAGATCCAGTTCCCAGAGTGGCTATCGAACACGGTTATGGTCTCAAAGTCAGAGGGGAAATGGCGGATGTGCATAGATTTTCGAGATTTGAACAAGGCATGCCCGAAGGATTTATACCCGCTTCCCAGGATCGGCCAGCTGGTCGACTCCACAGCCGGGTGTGAGCTACTCAGTTTGATGGACGCATCCCAGGGTTATCATCAGATCCCGCTGGCTCGAGATGATTGGAAAAGGGTCAGCTTTGTAACAAGCCGTGGAACATACTACTATGTGGTGATGCCATTCGGTCTAAAGAATGCAGGGGCGACATATCAGAGGTTGGTGGATGAAATTTTTAAGGATCAGCTGGGAAGGAACATGGAGGTGTATGTAGATGATATGCTGGTAAAGAGAAAAGAGGAAATTGACCATGTAAACGACTTGAAAGAAACATTCATGACCCTCCGGGAGTATGGGATGAAGCTGAATCCCGCTAAGTGCTCATTCGGGGTCAAATCTGGGAAATTTTTGGGCTACATGTTCACGAAGAGGGGAATCGAGGTCAACCCGGAGAAAGTAAGGGCGATGATCAAGATGCAGCCACCCACCACGGTGAAGGAGGTACAGATCCTAACTGGTCGAATAGCAGGCCTAAGCCGCTTTATTTCTAAGGTATCTGAGAAAAGCGGTCCCCTGTTTAAGACACTCAAGAAAAGCTCGAAATTCCAGTGGACAGAAGAAGCCCAGAAAGCATTCGAGGAGTTGCAGAGGGTGCTGGTCGATCTACCATTATTGGCAAAACCAGTGCAAGGGGAGGACTTGGTGTTATATGTGTCCATTGGTGAGACGGCAGTGAGCTCGGTGTTAATGCGGGAGGAAGGGACAGCCCAATTTCCGATCTATTACGTGAGTAAGGTGATGCAAGGGGCGGAGAGGAGGTATTCAGAGATTGAAAAAGGGGCCTTGGCGGTGGTGGTCAACGTAAGGAAGCTGAGACCATACTTCTTGGGACATAGGGTGAAGGTCCGGACGAATATGCCATTGGGAAAAACGCTGGGTCGACCCTCCGTGTCGAGGCGATTAGTCAAGTGGGCAGTCGAGCTGAGTGAATACACAATTATCTACGAGCCGAGAAGGGCAATTAAGGTTCAGGCACTGGCAAATTTTATACAAGAGGGGACGAAGGAGAGCGAAGAGTCTGAAGGAGTATGGCAGGTGTTTGCAGATGGATCGGTGTCGAGGGCCAGAGGTGTCTTAGGCATCGTACTTATGTCTCCAAAGGGTGACAGCCTCGAGTTTGCAATCAAAGTGGCCTACCAGATATCAAATAATGAAGCGGAATATGAGGCGGTCATTAAAGGACTCAAACTGGCCTTAAGTGGCGGAGCTCGAAAAGTGCAGGTACATTCGGATTCACAATTGGTGGTGGGTCAATTCCAAGAAGGGTTTGAGGTCCGGGAAGAAAGGATGGTGAGGTATGTGGAGGAGATGAAGAAACTGTAGGGAGAGTTTGATTTGTTTGAGTTAATCCAGATACCTCAAGGAGAAAATGGTCGAGCGGATCTGTTAGCTAAAGTGGCACAAAGTTTGGTGGATTGCAAGAGTAGAAATGTGACCTTGCTACACATGGAGAAGAGTGTGGTCGAGAAGGAGGTGGTCGAGATAGAAGAAGTCGAGGATTGGAGGGCACTGATAATAAAAAAATTGAAGGAAGCAGCCATGAAAGTAATAAGGAGATTTTTCGAGCACGGAGGGATTCTCTACAAGAGGTCATACGCGGGCCCCCACTTGCGATGTGTAACCGGAGAAGAAGGGCGATATTTGTTGAAGAAGATCCAAGAGGGGTGTTTCAGCGACCACGGCAAAGCAGGTTCCCTGGTGGCAAAGGCCCTAAGGGCAGGATATTTCTGGACAACAATGAGAGAAGATTCAAACAGATGGTGCGGAAATGTTTGTAATGCCAGAAACACGGTCCACTTATTCACCAGCCGGCTGAATCCATGACAGCGATGAGTTCTCCCATCTTGTTCGCTCAGTGGGGGATCGACCTGGTTGGGCCCATGCCCCAAGGAACTTGACAGAGAAAGTTTTTGATTGCGCGGTCGATTACTTCACAAAGTGGGTGGAAGCTGAACCCTTGGCAAAGATCACGGAGGAGAAAGTGATACATTTTCTCTATGACAACATATGCTGCAGGTTCGGAGTTCCTAAACTGTTGGTGTCGGACAATGGGACCCAATTCAATGGCAAGCGGATCCGGGCATGGTGCGAGGACATGAAAATTGATCAACACTTCGCTTCAGTCGCACACCCGCAAGCCAACGGGCAGGTCGAAGTGACCAACATGATTATATTGAACGGTCTGAAAACGAGGTTGGAGAAGGCATCGGGAGCATGGGTGGATGAACTTACTTCGGTGCTATGGGCATATAGAACAACGCCCCGATCGACCACTGGAGAAACACCGTTCAGCATGGTATACGGTATGGAAGCTTTGCTGCCAATAGAGGTCGAGCTCGAGTCCTAGAGATCGAGCACGTATGATCGAGAGCAGAATGAAAATTTGATGATGACAGCGCTCGACACGATCGAAGAACTTCGAGAAAGAGCCTCAGTCAGAGTAGAAGCATACAAGTAGAGGATGTGGGCAACACATGATAGAAAGGTGAAAATACGAAGATTCCAAGTGAGTGACTTGGTGCGGAAGAGAGTCGATGTGCTGAAGCACGTCGGGAAACTAGAGCCAAACTGGGAAGGACCATACCTGGTCGAAAAGGTCCATGCTGGAGGGGCATACTCTTTAAAGGATGCTGAAGGAAGATCTCTAGCCAGTCATGGAATGTGGCTAACTTAAAGAAATATTATGCTTAAAATTTTTTCTTTTTTACTCATTACCACCAATGTAAAGAAATGCTTTGCTCGATGATGAATGAAATGGCGTATTGAAGTTTCTACAATTTACTGTTTACCGAATTAACTTTATGTAGCCGAAATCCCTGGATTAACCTTGATGACAGACTGTATGTGAAAAATCCATCACGATTAAGGCCACGAGGCTGGATGGTCGTATGTAACGACCACCCCTTTGAGGGTGGGCATGCGTTCAAGAAAAAATCCATCATGATTAAGGCCAGGAGGCTGGATGGTCGTATGTAACGACCACCCCTTTGAGGGTGGGCATGCGTTATCAAGCAAAAATCCATCATGATTAAGGCCATGAGGTTGGATTCTCATATGTAACGACCATCCCTTTGAGGGTGGGCATGCGTTCAAAAAGAAAAATCCATCATGAGTAAAGCCATGAGGCTGGATGGTCGTACGTAACGACCACCCCTTTGAGGGTGGGCATGCGTCTAAAAACAACAATCCATCATGATTAAGGCCATGAGGCTGGATGGTCGTATGTAACGACCACCCCTTTGAGGGTGGGCATGCGTTTAAAAGCAAAAATCCATCGTGATTAAGGCCATGAGATTGGATGGTCGTATGTAACAACCACCCCTTTGAGGGTGGGCATGCGTTTAAAAACAACAATCCATCATGATTAAGGCCATGAGGCTGGATGGTCGTATGTAACGACCACCCCTTTGAGGGTGGGCATGCATCTCAAAAACAGAAAAATCCATCATGTTTAAGGCCACGAGGCTGGATGGTCGCATGTTCGACCACCTCCAGGGGTGGGCATGTATGTATGTGTATGGTGCGACTAAATTATTCAGGTGATTGTGAAGCAAACACACGAACATCACTTAAGAAACGACGGATGGACCGACTAATGAAAGCGTGTTATTCATATATCAAAGTTTGCATCAATCATACTCCGAAGTCCGCTTTGGTATTCCAAGCGAGAAGTTATGACAAAGGTAACAAGTCGAAGTATCAAAAGCATTATTGAAAATCAAGACAAGTCAAAAACAAAATATCACCATTTCACGAATATCGCATAGTTCATTGGAACACATAATTCAGATTCACAACAGACAAAATGGAAAATACAAAAGCTACATCTAAGGAGGAGGAGCTGCGGTCGAATCGGCGTTGCTTTGATTAACGTTGGGATCAGTCGGATGGCTAGTTCCGGAGGTCGAGTTGCAAGCCTCGTTAAGTGGACATTGACGTATAGACTCGGTCAGCACGGCCAGCATTGAGGCAGGTGGAGTGAGGCTATCAGGCAGAGCATAAGTCTTCTTTAAAGTGTCTGATCGAGCCAGAGTCCTTTCGAGCAGTCCTGACCACCACTCGTGCTCGAGAGGTAAGCTAGGATCGCTCTGGAAA